ATTGACCAAATACTTTTTTTCCACCATCATTTGCAAATAAATTCATTAAAAATCCTACAATGTGATTTTCTGGATTTTTTTTTCTCATTTTGTCTGTCATAGTTGACGTGTACCTATGATGAAAATTACAGGCCTCTCTCATCTTTTTAAGTGGGAGAACTTGCACAATTGGTGGCTGACTAAATACTTTTTTTCCCCACTGTATATATATCAGTTGAAGTCGGAAGTTTACATACACCTTAGCCAAATACATTTAAACTCAGTTTTTCACAATTCCTGACATTTAATCCTAGTGAAAATTCCCTGTTTTAGGTCAGTTAGGATCACCACTTTATTTTAAGAATGTGAAATGTCAGAATAATAGTAGAGAGAATTATTTATTTCAGCTTTTATTTATTTCATCACATTCCCAGTGGGGCAGAAGAATACATACACTCAATTAGTATTTGGTAGCATTGCCTTTGAATTGTTTAACTTGGGTCAAATGTTTTGGGTAGCCTTCCACAAGATTCCCACAATAAGTTGGGTGAATTTTGTCCCATTCCTCCTGACAGAGCTGGTGTAACTGAGTCAGGTTTGTAGGCCTCCTTGCTCGCACACGCTTTTTCAGTTCTGCCCACAAATTTTCAATAGGATTGAGGTCAGGGCTTTGTGATGGCCACTCCAATACCTTGACTTTGTTGTCCTTAAGCCATTTTGTCACAACTTTGGAAGTATGCTTGGGGTCATTGTCCATTTGGAAGACCCATTTGCGACCAAGCTTTAACTTCCTGACTGATGTCTTGAGATCTTGCTTCAATATATCCACATAAGTTTCCTTCCTCATGATGCCATCTATTTTGTGAAGTGCACCAGTCCCTCCTGCAGCAAAGCACCCCCACAGCATGATGCTGCCACCCCGTGCTTCACGGTTGGGATGGTGTTCTTCGGCTTGCAAACTCCCCCTTTTCCTCCAAACATAACGATGGTCATTATGGCCAAACAGTTATAATTTTGTTTCATCAGACCAAAGGACATTTCTCCAAAAATTACGATCTTTGTCCCCATGTGCAGTTGCAAACTGTAGTCTGGCTTTTTTATGGCGGTTTTGGAGCAGTGGCTTCTTCCTTGCTGAGTGGCCTTTCAGGTTATGTCAAAATAGGACTCGTATTACTGTGGATATAGATACTTTTGTACCTCTTTCCTCCAGCATCTTCACAAGGTCCTTTGCTGTTGTTCTGGGATTGATTTGCACTTTTCGCACCAAAGTACGTTCATCTCTAGGAGACAGAACACATCTCCTTCCTGAGCGGTATGACGGCTGCGTGGTCCCATGGTGTTTATACTTGCGTACTATTGTTTGTACAGATGAACGTGGTACCTTCAGGCATTTGGAAATTGCTCACAAGGATGAACCAGACTTGAGGAGGTCTACAATTTTTTTTCTGAGGTCTTGGCTGATTTCTTTTGATTTTCCAATGATGTCAAGCAAAGAGTTTGAAGGTAGGCCTTGAAAAACATCCACAGGTACACCTCCAATTGACTCATTTTCTGGAATTTTCCAAGCTGTTTAAAGGCACCGTCAACTTAGTGTATGTAAACTTCTGACCCACTGGAATTGTGATACAGTGAATTATAAGTGAAATGTCTGAAAAGTCTGTCTGTAAAGAATTGTTGGATCATGCACAAAGTAGATGTCCTCACCGACTTGCCAAAACTATAGTTTCTTAACAAGAAATGTGTGGAGTGGTTGAAAAAACGAGTTTTAATGACTCCAACCTAAGTCTATGTAAACTTCCGACTTCAACTGTATATAAACAGTGGGGGAAAAAAGTATTTAGTCAGCCACCAATTGTGCAAGTTCTCCCACTTAAAAAGATGAGAGAGGCCTGTAATTCATCATAGGTACACGTCAACTATGACAGACAAATTGAGGGAAAAAAATCCAGAAAATCACATTGTAGGATTTTTTATGAATTTATTTGCAAATTATGGTGGAAAATAAGTATTTGGTCACCTACAAACAAGCAAGATTTCTGGCTCTCACAGACCTGTAACTTCTTCTTTAAGAGGCTCCTCTGTCCTCCACTCGTTACCTGTATTAATGGCACCTGTTTGAACTTGTTATCAGTATAAAAGACACCTGTCCACAACCTCAAATAGTCATACTCCAAACTCCACTATGGCCAAGACCAAAGAGCTGTCAAAGGACACCAGAAACAAAATTGTAGACCTGCACCAGGCTGGGAAGACTGAATCTGCAATAGGTAAGCAGCTTAGTTTGAAGAAATCAACTGTGGGAGCAATTATTAGGAAATGGAAAGACATACAAGATCAATGATAATCTCCCTCGATCTGGGGCTCCACGCAAGATCTCACCCCGTGGGGTCAAAATGATCACAAGAACGGTGAGCAAAAATCCCAGAACCACACGGGGGGACCTTGTGAATGACCTGCAGAGAGCTGGGACCAAAGTAACAAAGCCTACCATCAGTAACACACTACGCCGCCAGGGACTCAAATCCTACAGTGCCAGACGTGTCCCCCTGCTTAAGCCAGTACATGCCCAGGCCTGTCTGAAGTTTGCTAGAGTGCATTTGGATGATCCAGAAGAGGATTGGGAGAATGTCATATGGTCAGATGAAACCAAAATATAACTTTTTGGTAAAAACTCAACTCGTCGTGTTTGGAGGACAAAGAATGCTGAGTTGCATCCAAAGAGCACCATACCTACTGTGAAGCATGGGGGTGTAAACATCATGCTTTGGGGCAGTTTTTCTGCAAAGGGACCAGGACGACTGATCCGTGTAAAGGAAAGAATGAATGGGGCCATGTATCGTGAGATTTTGAGTGAAAACCTCCTTCCATCAGCAAGGGCATTGAAACGTGGCTGGGTCTTTCAGCATGACAATGATCCCAAACACACCGCCCGGGCAACGAAGGAGTGGCTTCATAAGAAGCATTTGAAGGTCCTGGAGTGCCTAGCCAGTCTCCAGATCTCAACCCCATAGAAAATCTTTGGAGGGAGTTGAAAGTCCGTGTTGCCCAGCGACAGCCCCAAAACATCACTGCTCTAGAGGAGATCTGCATGGAGGAATGGGCCAAAATACCAGCAACAGTGTGTGAAAACCTTGTGAAGACTTACAGAAAACATTTGACCTGTGTCATTGCCAACAAAGGGTATATAACAAAGTATTGAGAAACTTTTGTTATTGATATAATTTGCAAATAAATTCATAAAAAATCCTACAATGTGATTTTCTGGAGAAAAAAAATCTCATTTTGTCTGTTATAGTTGACGTGTACCTATGATGAAAATTACAGGCCTCTCTCATCTTTTTAAGTGGGAGAACTTGCACAATTGGTGGCTGACTAAATACTTTTTTTCCCCACTGTACACACTTTTTTTGGGGGGGGCCACCCCGGTAAATCCCTGCAATAATCCGGCCGTGGCCATCGCCTGTTCTCTCTCTCTCTCAAACTCCCTGCAAGTTCTTTTGGCTTTTGTATTTAACATTCAGCAAACAAGAGCAAGCTTGCATCCCTCTTCGAATAGTCTATTACTGTAGTATAAGAAATGCAACAACAAAAAAGTCCAAAAAGCTATTCTAGTCCACCTTTTCCTGGGACTCCACAAGAGCTAAGGAGAGAGGCCAGAGGAGAGCAGGTGTGTAATTGTGCAAGAAAACAGTGAACTGTCCAACAATCTTGAACAGGATTATCTATTTTGTATGCAATTTGAATGGAATTGATGGAGAGGGAGAAAGATTTAAACCAACAATATTCGAGTGATAGGCTGTTTTAAAACTCTGCAGCTACAAAAAATGTTTTATAAAACATCTTTACAATTAAAAAATAAGGTGGGTTAATTAGGCTGCGTGTAGACAAGCAGCCCAATTTTGATATTTTTTTCCCACTAATTGGTCTTTTGACCAATCACATCAGATCTTTTCACATCAGATCTTTTTCAGAGCTGATCTGATTGGTCAAAAGACCAATTAGTGGGAAAAATATCAGAATTAGGTTGCCTGTTTAAACGCTGCCTTCATATTAATCTATCATAGGCTATGCTGCAGCAAATTGAGCTGTCACAACAACAAAAAGTTACAAGCTGATGATTGATCATGCAGATGGCAGAGCAGAGAAGGCAGATTTAGACATTGCATATAATTTAAGTTTCATTTCACATCATGCTGTTCATATAAATAATTTATTATAATTTACTGGTTTCTTGCAGTTATTTATCCCGGGAAACGGCAGTGGGTTTGGGTGGTAAATCTCGGTAACCCAGTTCCTGCTATTAAACCCTAATGTTCAAATGATATCAGAGTGAGAGTGACTAAGAATATTAATGGGGGCCCTGACCCAATTATTATAATAATACTTTTTTTAGGAACTCAGTCACTGACAGTCATTCAATTAGCCTTTTTCAGCTAACATTTTTTAAATTGGTAAGTTACACTAGCTAGCGATCTAAACTTGTAGTAATCATGGTGTAATTATCGTGCCCAGGGGCCCTGACCTCCAGGGGGCCCACATTGATTTTGTTAGTCATCTCACTCAGATATCATATTAGCATAAGTCATGGCAAAATGTGTAGAATTGCAGGAAATTAGCTTTAAAACTGCTAAATGTTCTCTACACCCCATGACAAAATGTGTAGAATTGCAGTAAAATGTTGCTTAGGGCCCCCAAAAGGCTATGGCTGTCCCTGGGTCAGTAATTCGGTCATGATTACTACAAGGTTTAGATAGCTGGCTAGACTAATTTACCTAGCAATCTATAAATTATTAGCTGACATGGGCTAATTGAGTGACTGTCAGTGACTGACATAACGAGGAAAACTGCTGATGCACTACCAAATTTCAAAATTGCACGTTGTGTATTCTACTATCCCAACTGTAAGTTAGTTATAATATAATGTTTAATCATGTGCAATTTTAAGGCTCAATAATCTTTAACTCAATAAACTTTTGCAGGTGACGATACAGACGCAAATAGAGATTTACGGGAGTTTGGCAATGCGTTCTAACCACATGGAAGACAGAGGGGGTGAGTGCCTCAGTGACATGTTGAAAAACCACCATATGAAGGTCTGTAGTTTGGACTTTGGGCTGACGGCTGGCTGTCTCTCCATAGGTGTATGGATTCTACAGGAGCATGTCTATGCCGGTCACCACTGTGTCCGTCAGCTCCTCTGTAGTGTTTGGCGTCTACAGGAATGTCCTGCAATGTCCTACGTCAACTACGCGCCACCTCCACAGGTTTAGATTTTCTGCAAGCCAAGGTGGACATCTTTTTGTCCGGGTTGTCAGGCGTTGCCCAGGTAGTCTACTTATTATTATATTCGTCTACAGTCGTTGTGACATTACATGACATGATGCTTGGCTTTTACAATATTGATCAGTTTCAGTAAATTCCTTCAGTAAAACTAAAAGTTCCCCAAAGCAAAAACTGGGTCATATTCACTAGGAACCAAATGGAAGTTGTCCTAGTTGAAACGTTTGTTTTCCTTTTCCGTTGCAAGCGTTTTGCTATGGTATGCACTAATACGACCCTGATGACATCATCACCACAACACCTAGGGTTTGAATCCTCCCTCTCTTATCCTCTTTAAAGGATCAGTGGTGGCACCAGCTGACATAGTGAAAGTACGGCTGCAGTGTCAGATGGTACATCAAGGCTTGGACGCTCAGCAACCCAATGCACGGTCTGAAGACCATCGCTCGTGAGGAGGGCTTCCTCGAACTGTACAAGGAAGCTAGTGCACTCGACCTGCGAGAAAGCCCTTGTTTTGCCACCTACTTCACTATTTATCACGTTATCTGTGAGCAACTGTCACCACCTGGGAAGACCCAGCCAGGTAAACACACATCATCACACAAAGCATATGCTTCTGTAACTCCGCTAATGTCATGTTAAGTGTAAAAGGTTGCTTTTACCATTGGTCATTATTCATTCATCATTTTGTGTTGGATGTGGACGGCGGTTCTGCTTGCTGGTGGACTCTCAGGGATGTGCGGCTGGTACATAGGGACACCCATAGACGTGATCAAATCCCGTTTGCAGGTGGACGGTATAGGCAAGAGGAGATACAAGGGTTTCTTCCACTACAGAGCATAGGCACTGAGGGGCCGGGTGTTCTCTTCAAAGGCCTGGGCCTCAATTGCATACGTGCCTTCCCCGTCATCATGTCTTTGTTCTGTACGAGGTGGATGTGCGCCTCCTCCGACCGTAAATCTATAGGTCTGGGTTGAATTCATTAGGCATTAAACGGAAGAAAACGGACTGAAATAGTTTTCAGTGTCCTAATGAACACAACCCTGGTTTTGAAAACTTGGTTGACAACCTTTTTTTATTTACTTTTTTAAACAAGATGTGATTCTATTTTAATGATGTTTCTCATGCAGTTTTCCATGGTTGGAATAATCCAGTGAGCGTTTATGCTATATCACCATTCACCTTTGCCTTAGTTGCTGCTATATGCGATTGTTCAATAGTGCCATACTGCACTATAAGGGAAACTTTCAATATTCCTGATAAGTATTTCAAGTGAAAATGAATACGGTGTTAAAACAGTTTTATGGTCGATTTCTCAGCCCTTTTGGGAATAGCACTACAGTACCTTCATTTGCACATCATTTTTATTTATTTGAAGGGAGGCGTTACTTTTTACACAACTTTCCCAGGGTTGTATTTCACACAGCAGGATCACTTGATTTTACTGCTTTATAAATTAAGCTGAAGTGGATTAGTAACAGTTTGTTTCATCTTCTTAATGAATTTGAAAGTATGGAGATAGTTATTTCTGAGTACTGTATTAAGGAAAGTTACTTAGCAATCTTGTTGTTCCTGCCCTAAGAATTATCCCATTCTTCATATCACTCCTGTCACAGCTTGGAAAACAAGTGTCTTTGCAATAGGGACCACCAGACAGCAAACTGCAGTATTCTCGGTGTGTCATCAGTATTTAGGAATTGATTCACTTCTGCCACAGGCTTTCACCTCACATTCGGTATGAACGTGAGTGAAGCCGAGGCTAGGAATTGATCAACTTTGCTTTGAAAATACAATAGAAAAATATTTGATGTTACTGGATCCAAGCAGTAACAATTCTGAGACGTTGACATATAGTACTGCCTTAACTCCCAGTTCTCAAAATACTGTGAGTCATTCTCTGTATACCTCATGTAGTGATGATACTGTAATTTCATTTTGAATGACAATCCCGTTATTTGGTAGTGTTTGAGAAAAATGAACTTCTAAGTTGTGTATCCGATTTTGGTGTGATTAAAAATAATGGATTTTTAACATAAACATTTCTGCAGTGTAAAGTGAATGATTTAATTATTGAATAAAAATGTGTCCAATCACAAGACCAAGATTATTTTATTAATCCAATAGTATTGGTGTTAAGACTTCCTTCTTTGACCATGCTTAGTAAGCTTGATGTGAAGCCATATAGTTGGTTAATAATTAGACATGAACTGTGCAGCATAGGGAGATGTAGTTGACACATTTAAGTTAATGTTTCTGGCATCACCTTGTACCAGCTGCGTGTAGGCATGCTGCATGTCAAGACCTGCCACATTCAGTAGGTAAAGGTTGTGGAATGTTGCAGATAGAAATGCAGTGAATAGATCAGACACGATTCCTTTATGCTACACGTCAGAGGCATATCTGTTCTACAAAAAAATATTTATATCTGAACGTTCCACAACTTGTGCCCTGCTGAACGCAGCCCTGCTGAGTTTCGACATGGACGACCTCCAACATTGCGTTGAGACTTAGCACATGATTAAAACGCTGCGCACTGGCTAGAAATTGAAATCAAGAGGTCTCGGGGTCATGAACTGCTTGACTGTCTCTTCTGTGACCTGCTTGCGTCTCTCCTGATGGGCTGTGATGATTGGCTGCAGGGTCTCTATCAGACTCTTCTTCAACTCGCCGGTAAGCAGCGCTCCACTGGCGTAGTCCTGGAGAGAGAGAGAGAGAGATACAGTACAGCAATGACAGAGGATTACTTAGGACACAATACAGCTAAGAACTGCCAGGAAATCATTAGCCCGGTTGTCCAATCTGTTTGTGTTATAGCCACTCCTCTCTGTTCGTTCTTTGCCAGGCCAAACATGGCATCTATAGAATAGATGGCTACAGCACATAATAGGAGAGGCACCATGAATCTAGCTTTGTTTCCAGACAGTTTACCATTCTGATAATACTTTCTGACACACAGAAAGCAGCATAGTGTTCATTTGGGGAGATTTCATAAACAGAAATGAATCTTATCTGACTAGGACAGTCAAATGTCCTGCTCTGTCCAAGAGTGTTGATACCAAATAGAGAGCTGTTAGTGTGCTTATTTCTGATAAAAGTCAGTTATTCTCTACCTGTGGGTAGTCATGGATAGTATGGTTGAGTGGGTAAAAACAAAACACCAAATGAAATATAGGGCTATGAAGGTAAATGTAATTTTTTTTTTTTACAAATAGTATGACTGCGGGTTAAGAAAACACCAGGCCCTAACCCTGGTCCGCTATACGCTTTGAACCAGTTCTGTCCATTGCTCAAGTCCAGTTCTGTCCATTGCTCAAGTCCAGGTGCATTGGGTTCTCTGACAGTTGTCGAGCAGCACGCTCCCCCACCTGTCGGATTTTCTCCAGCTGCTCGTCGTCCTCCAGGAAGAAGGTCAGGTACATGAAGGACACATCCACGTCGGGGTTGCCGCCATATTTCCGGTGCTCCTCTACCGTGTCCTTTCCCCCGGAGAAGGCGTGCTTGTTCACCTGGGAGATGATAGCGACAACGCAACATAAAATATAGTTGTGATATCAATCAATAGAATGTAATGTGTAATGTATACTGAACAAAAATGTAAACAACATGCAACAAATTCTAAGATTTTACTGATTTACAGTTCATATGAGGACATCAGTCAATTGAAATAAATTAAGCCCTAATCTATGGATTTCACATGACTGGGAATACAGATATGCATCTGTTGGTCACAGATAAAAAATAAAATAAAATAAAAGCCTCAGAATCGATAAAATGCCAATTGTGTTCGTTGTCTGTAACTTATGCCTGCCCATTCCATAAACCCACCGCCACCATGAGGCACTCTGTTCACAATGTTGACATCAGCAAACCACTCGCCCACGCGACGCCATACACATGGTCTGCGGTTGTGAGGCCGGTTGGACGTACTGCCAAATTCTCTAAAACGACGTTGGAGGCGGCTTATGGTAGAGAAAATTAACATTCAATTATCTGGCAACAGCTCTGGTGGACATTCCTGTAGTCAGTATGACAATTGCACGCTCCATCAAAACTTGAGACATCTGTGGAGTTGTGTGACAAAACTGCACATTTTAGAGTGACCTTTTATTGTCCCCCAGCACAAGGCACCTGTGTAATGATCATGCTGTTTAATCAGCTTCTTGATATGCCACACCTGTCAGGTGGAGGGATTATCGTGGCAAAGGAGACATGCTCACTAACAGGGATGTAAACAAATTAGTGTACAACATTTGAGAGAAATAAGCTTTTTGTGCGCATGGAAAATTTCTCGGATCTTTTATTTCAGCTCATGAAATATGGGACCAACACTTTACATGTTGCGTTTATATTTTTGTTCAGTGTAATTTCCATTTCAGTTGACTGTATGTGGAACTAATAAAGTAAGGTAAGTGTATCTATAAAGCTCCATTTACATCAGAAGTTGTCACAAAGTGACCTCTTTCACACTACTAAGCTGAGCTGTACTGCGCCAGTCTGGTTACGCATTCACTATTGCTGGAACCATGCCGGAAAGGACGAGGTGAAAAGAAAATATCACAACAAGCCCAGTACAGTTTGGGTTGGCAAGATAGTGTAAAAAGGGTATTAGAAAGCTTCAGTGTCACCTTATTTTTGATCTGCTTGGGCGTGTCTGTGAGGAAGATGGAGGAGTTGGCGTCGCTGGCGGACATCTTGGTCTGGGCCCCCTGCAGCGCGGGGAAGAAGGTTGAGTGCAGCAGGGCAGGCTTGGGGTAGCCGATCCTGGGTGCCACATCCCGGGTCATCCGGAAGTAGGGGTCCTACAGGGGTAGAGTAGGAAACAGGCATGGGTAATTGGAGGGATATGTCTTCAAACCCATTTTAGTGCTCTAGATGTGATGCTAAAGTCCCTGTAAACTTAACCAGATGAGACTGAACTTTACTGAGTTCTTTACCGTCTCAGTAACATGCTGTCAGACCCTACTAATCAGATCCTTTTGTTCCTCTCAAAAATATGCTTTTTAACTTCACATTATTTTTTATTCTGGCTAAATGAAAATATACAGTCACAAGCATAGTGTGTAGAAAGAAAGGCTGATTCTAAGGTTATTCAGTTGCCACTAGTTCAGCGCATTGAAGATGATCAGTCAGAGCATCCCATTTCTAAAATGAACTGGAAAATCTTTCCCTGTTAAAGGTTAGCAGACAGTGTGCGTCCTAGTTGTGCCGTGTGGTCCGACTGACCTGGTCTATGGCGCAGGGAATGAGACACTGGACGTCTTTTCTGCCCTTGAAGATCTGAGGGAAAGAGTTACTGAACGATGGAGCGGCCTGGATGGCTGGGAAGGCGATCTTTCCTGGGGTGGGAGAGAGAGAGGAATACGTAGCTGTTAAAAAGCATTCACCTGGGTCGTCAGGACACCTGTGCCAGTGCCAGTCAGCACAGTTCACATTGCAGCACCCACTATGCAGATCAGAAATAATTCATAGTGTTAATTTAGAATGAAAGCGAAATCTCAGCATTTGTATAATCGCTCAACGGGTGTTGACTATCTTCCTGCAATCTCTTACCGATGCAGTCACTGTCACCAAATCCAAAAATGCCTTTGACCTGGTTGAAAGTCACATGCTTCTGTATTTTCACCACATTCCTGTAGAAGTCTGGGGACGCCCTGTAGAGACAAAACAATCAGAGTTAAGAACAATCAGTTAAATCGGCAACATACTGTAGCAAACATGACAGCCCCATACCACTAGCCGGACATGGGTGCACTTTGAATAGGTCAAGTATTTGTCACCGTGAACCTCCTATCGAATGATAAGCATCGGCTTTGTAATATCTCCCAGTCACATCAGGCTGTTGAGCATACCACCCACAGCTAATAAGTATGGTGAAGAATTATGATGAATGACAGGAGAGAGAGAGAGAAATGTAGGCGTCTATCTGTATTGACTTCTTTCAAGTTATTGCACTACAGCACCACCTTCTGGGAGATCAGTGAACAAAGACATGGGATAAAGCAGAAGTACCACAGGTCTTGTGGGAGAGACCCGTTTTTAGTATTCCCATGATGTATAAATGCTCAAACAGCAAAGAGCTTGATGAGGGGATTCTGAAACAACAGGCAGAATATCTAATTGTACTAAAACTAAGTAAAAGAGGACCAGGGCCCGGATCCACAAAGCTCCTCAGAGTAGGAGTGCTGAGATGAGATCAGTTTAGCCTTTTAGATCATAACGAGTAACATTATATGGACAGAGGGGATCGGATCCTAGATCAGCACTCCTACTCTGAGACACAGTGAGACAGAGGGTCTGTGGTTGGTTAGTTACCCCATGTAGTCCAGGTCAGAGAAAATGAAGGTCTTGTTGACGTTGAAGCCACAGGCGATGATGTCCTTGGCGTTCTCCACGGCGTAGCGGTGACAGTCCTCCAGGGACAGGTCCTTCCACAGGTACTTCTCATCGTCTGTCAGCTGGATCACCAGCGGGATGTCAAACGTGTCCTGCAGCCATCTGGGAACAGGTGGAGGAGCCCAACCCTTTACTCTCCAATTGAATCCACTACCATCCCAACCGGCCTTAAGCCTCCTTCTACAAGCCTGACCTAAAACGCTAGGGCATTATGCAGCATGTGTTATATAGGCAATGCGTGATACACTAGGTAGGGCTTAGTGTTTCCTGACAGAGGGACCTAACCAGGACAAGGTCTAGAATATACCATAGTGTAGGGATCATAGACGTAGTCTACAAAAACGATTGAAATGTCAGTGGTTCTTCAGAGTCAACTCCATCCATCTCACTAATAGATACTAAAACTAATAGAGATAAACCGTATAATAGCCGAGCCTCACTTTGTGAAGATGAAAGGGATGAGGTGACCCACGTGCATGGCCTCTGAGGAGGGTCCTCTGCCCGTGTAGAGGTAGAAAGACTTGTTCTTCTCATATGCATCCAGAACCTGGTGCATATCTCTGAAAAAGAGCAACATAGTTACAGCATATAACATAACCTAAAATGCCCTCAAGGTAAAATGAGAGCAGATTAAGACTAGATTCTTAATACAATTTCGTATCAATTGCTCATGCTCAATCCCAGACAGTCGGACACGCCGCCCTCTAGAGTACATTCAAATACATGAATAGGAATGAGGAACTCAGTGATGACATGCACAGCGGTCATCCTAGAGAAGTGACCCATATGGTGACTGTGTTGACTAGTGCACCACTGACCTGTGAGAGAAGAAGATTCCTCGACGTAAAAATCGGTGTGCTTTCTGTCCCGAGACGCTCTCTATTCTGTCCACCAGCTCCTGGTCAATCTTGCTACTGCCAAACCTCACTGGAAAAAAGAAAAAAAAATCATTTTACAGCAGTTCACAATACCATTAATTATGCTCTGACTATGCATATAAAAAATGTAATAGCTTGACATTAGATAACATCCATTTGTTTGGAGCAAGTGTACAGAAACGTGCGAGATCTCACAGACTTATTTTCGCAAAGGCCCAAATTCTCCCATGGACATCAATGCAATGACAGTGGCTAACTAGCCTTGGTGGTTATCCAATACAGTGCATTCGGAAAGTATTCAGACCCCTTGACTTTTTCCACATTTTGTTATGTTACAGCCTTATTCTAAAATGGATTCAATTGTTTTTTCCACCACTCAATCTACACACAATACCCCATAATGACAAAGCAAAAACAGGTATTTTTTGGCCAGCGATTACAGCCTCAAGTCTTCTTGGGTATGACGCTACAAGCTTGGCACACCTGTATTTGGGAAGTTTCTCCCATTCTTCTCTGCAGATCCTCTCAAGTTCTGTCAGGTTGGATGGGGAGCGTCGCTGCACAGCTATTTTCAGGTCTCTCCAGAGATGTTCGATTGGGTTAAAGTCCGGGCTCTGGCTGGGCCACTCAAGGACATTGAGACTTTACCTGAGGCCACACCTGCGTTGTCTTGGCTGTGTGCTTAGGATCGTTGTCCTGTTGGAAGATGAACCTTTGCCCCCAGTCTGAGGTCTAGAGCGCTCTGGAGCAGGTTTTCATCAAGGATCTCTCTGTACTGTGCTCCGTTCATCTTTGCCTCGATCCGGACTAGTCTCCCAGTCCCTGCCGCTGAAAAACATCTCCACAGCATGATGCTGCCACCACCATGCTTCACCGTAGGGCTGTCATGTGCCTTTTACTGAGGAGTGGCTTCCGTCTGACCACTCTACCATAAAGGCCTGATTGGTGGAGTGCTGCAGAGATGGTTGTCCTTCTGGAAGGTTCTCCCATCTACACAGAAGAACTCTGGAGCTCTGTCAGTGACCATCAGGATCTTGGTCACCTCCCTGACCAACGCCCTTCTCCCCTGATTGCTCAGTTTGGTCGTGCGGCCAGCTCTAGGAAGAGTCAACATCTCAAGGATGATCAATGGAAACAGGATGCACCCTGATCTCAATTTCGAGTCGCATAGCAAAGGGTCTGATTTTTTTTAAAATTGCAAACATTTCTAAAACCTATTTTCGCTTTGTCATCATGGGGTACTGTGTGTAGACTGATGAGGGGAAAAAATAACTACATTCATTTTAGAACAAGGCTGTAACGTAACAAAATGTGGAAAAAGGGAAGGGGTCTGAATACTTTCCGAACGCACTGTATGTTTCCCATAGCGTTGCCTCTGTTCCTGAGCTACTATACTACGCCATGACAGTGGCTTTTGGTTGAAAGGACATGTTTATCAAATAAACACTGGTACAACAAAGGAAATATTCAAAATGTTTACAAATAATTCACATACACGTACTGTTCAGATTTCATGGCATAGCTGCCAATCTACTCATTCAATTTGCATCAGCTTGCGTGTTGGGGGAAGTGTTCCGGGGAAATGTATCCCCTGAGAAACAAGTACTTGATCTATATAGTTCCACTATGCATTTATTTATTACCGTAATAAAAGAAGTTATAATATTTACATGTCAAAACGTTAGAGAAAAGCCAGTCTCATCAAATGAGAAGGTCATAAAGTGAAATGCATAAATGACAATGCAAGTCTGGTCAAACCATCAACAGTGCCTGCTGGAAATGTTTTTTGTTCCGACTGACTGATTTCAAAATAAAGTTTGTCAAGTTCTGTGCGATTGTCGAGTGAAGTGTGCGGCGTGCAAGTCAGGATTCAGGGCTCTACACTGCCTAAATTGAAAAATGTAGGAGCACTATGAAATATATTTGAGGCAAAAAGCAGTTTTCTTTGTAGTAATGGCGCAAGCATTCCTGTCCTGCATCTGCGCTCAGTGTATTCTACATGGTACTCAGGGGCTGTGGTACAGTGAAGAAATCATCGCAACAATTATCATCAGGGTGATTTTTTTCTAGGCACACTGGTGCTACTAAATTTAAATTCCAGGTCGCACAGCTAAATATTTAGGCGTATATGCAAATAAAAATGGTCCCACTGTAGAGCCCTGGGATTCTGCCCCCAGAGATCTAACATTATGATTTTCCCTCTGACCTATCAGCTTGTCATAGTCCACTCCTTTGGCGCTGGAGGTGGACACATTCCAGGGGTCAACCATGTCGTCCCCATCAGCAGCTGCTGCTGGCCCATTGTCTTGTGAAATGGCGCTTTCTGAGGGTGGACATCCAGTCTTATAGTCCTGACCCGTTACCTGCTTGTAGTCAACTTTGAGCTTCAGCAGCAACTGTACAGCAGCATCAATATCAGCCTATAATCCAAAACAGAATACAAGATACAGGTATTACACTGACATAATGGTATCCCATTTTCATGGCCACGGATGAATTCACTATATGAAGAAGATATGACACATTTTTATTATGACTGTATTGCATAACTTGGACAGTAACTTATTATTATATTAAAGCTCACTTTTGCAGCCTTTTCCGTTTTCAGAGTTCGGACTGTCTCTCCTTGTGATGTTAGTTTCTCATATAGGTCCATTGGGGTCATATCCCCTGCCCCGTCTCCCTGACAGTCTGTCATCTTCAACCTGGTCAAGACCCATTAGGAGAGATACAAGGCTATGTGACACTTTTACATACAGTAGTTTACATCATGTACGTTAGTTTTAACTAATGCAACCGCATATATGCTATATTGCTAGCTAGCATGTCTAGCTGATTCATAACGTCGTAAGGAGTATATAGTTACTAGTAGTATGGCATAAAACCGCATTTTGTCTGGTAAAATATAGTCCAGGTTTTTTAGTTTCTTGGGCTAGGGAAAGTAGCTAACTAGCTAGTGTATGGGCCATTTAAATCAACAAAACACACGTGGCTGTCAAGGCTTGTTTTTGAAGTTCTCTTACATAGCTAATGAACTGCAATATCTAGCTGTCTGGTTTTGTTATGGTCCATGAGGCCACCTGAACAGAAAGGATGGTTCAAGGCGAATATTGTATGCTGTGAACTACTCTCTACTGTATTAGCTCGCTAACTAGCCTTGGTGGTTATGCCATAGTTTCCCATACCGTTGCCTCTGTTCTGACCTGATCTACCACGCCTTGACAGTGGCTTTCGGTTGATCGGACATATTTATCAAATAAACACGGGTACATCAAAGGAAATATGCCAAATGTTTACAAATAATTCACATACACTTACTGTTCAGATTTGTTTGAAACCGCTGCCAATCCACTCATTGACTTGCATCAGCTTTCGTGTCGGGGGAAGTGTTCGGGGGAAATGCATCCACTGAGAAAAAAGTACTTGATCTATATAACTCCACTATGCATTTATATATTATCTTAATAAGAGAAATTATAATATTTACATGTCAAAACGTTAAAGAAAAGCCAGTCTCATCAAATGAGAAGGTCATAAAGAGAAACGTATAAAACGACATGCAAGTCTGTTTAAAACGTCAACGGTTCTTCTTCTTCTGTGGGTTTTATGGCGGACTAAATCCAAAAGTTGTATTGCCGCCACCAGCTGGACGTTTTGAAACCACAAAATCTATAAAATAAAAAATTAATCCATCCTTAATAGTAATATTAACTTACTCCACCCTAATAAAAATGGTACATTGCCAAAAACAAACAAAACTCCCATGACTTCCTACTTTTAGTTCTCCATATCTCTCTTCTCAGGCTCTAGGACCTGAGAGCGTGATACGGCTTTCAAATCAAATCAAATTTTATTTGTCACATACACGTGTTTAGCAGATGTAATTACGGGGTAGGGAAGTGCTTGCGCTTCCCCAATACACATAAATCTAAGTAAGGAATATAATTAAGAATATATACATATATGGACAAGCAATGACAGACTGGCATGGACTAAGATACAGTAGAATATTATAGAACACAGTATATACATATGAGATGAGTAATGCAAGATATGTAAACATTTTTAAAGTGACTAGTGTTCCATTTCTTAAAGTGGCCAGTGATTTCTATAGACAGCAGCAGCCTCTAATGTGCTAGTGATGGTTATTTAGGCCTTGAGATAGAAGTATGAAAAAGTATGAAAATGTATGCACTCACTACCTGTAAGTCGCTCTGGATAAGAGCGCCTACTAAATGACTAAAATGTCAAATGTAAGCTGTTTTTCAGTCTCTTGGTCACAGCTTTGATGCACCTGTACTGACCTCGCCTTCTGGATGATTGCCAATATTCCATGTAACAAAAGAAAATCCATACATGATAGGGAAATTAACTAAACCCACCCAAATAAAATAGTACATTGACAAAACAAAACTCCCATTTCTTCCTTCTTTTAAATCTCCATATCTTCCTTCTCAGTCTCTAGGGCCTGAGTTGGTGGTATGACTTTTGACAATATTCCATGGAACTCTTCTACCAAGAAATCTTTCAGCCCCAGGAACAGTTCCGCTGCAACCACAATGATGTATATCTTCTTAGATCTTTTCTCCACCTTGGCAGTGCCATTAATCACCATTGCGATAAAGGCCAAAGTCCACCTTTTTAACCTTTAAAATGTCAGGATCAACTTGGTGAAAGGCAACCCCTGCAGCTTGCATTGAAGGCCTATCCACCACCATGGACTCTTCAGGAGCACCATTCAAACCCTCAACCCTTTTAACCGCTGCTGCATAAGAAATGCTATGTACAACCCTAACTTTGGCCACCTCATTTTCTTTCACCCTTGTCGGACATTCAAAAGACGTGGCTTCATGGTTCCCACCACAATTGCAACATTTCACTTTTTAATCACTTTTACAACACATTAAATTATATTTTCCACAACGTGGACATCTCGGTTTCTCCCTTCTGCAAACCCTTGACGCATGACCAAAAGCTTTACAGTGATCACAATGCATTGGTCTTGGGATAAATGCTCTGACTTTGTAGTTTATATACCCCAAATGCACTTGAGCAGGGAGAGACTCCATATCAAAAAACAAAAATAATAAAAACTTCACTTTTTCATCATTCATCACTCGATTCATCCGACGTGCATCAATCACTCAAGGAATATTTTTCATCTCTTTAACATCGACTTCCCACGAGATGCCAGATAATACCCCCTTAAGGGGTGACCTGTTCCGAAGAGACACACACGACACGACAAACTTTTCAAATCGGGAGAGCCGCAACACATGTTCCTTCTGATCCGCAGAAGTACAACAATCAAAACAAACCCGCCTCTCGTGATCCTCACAGCCTTCACTTTACCCATCACTCTCTCCACCAGTTTGGATAGCTCAAATGGATTCTTCAAGATTGGTATTTCGATAAGCTGCTCCTCATTAACAAACCTTACTCCTACAAGATATAAAGGGACATTCTCCGCACTGTACCCTACTTTGCTCCCTTTTCCATTCTTTTGAACAATACTCAAATCCTTCTTGATTCTACCGCCATTAGTCACAATCCACTTCATCGTACCCGCTTCTTCTTCTTCTTCTTCTTCTTCAGTGGGGTTTATCGGCGGTTGGCATCCAACGTTATGGTGCATTACCCCCACCTACCGTACTGGAATGTGGGCCAGAGACACGGATAAACTAAATCCTACCTGCCAACCCCGTTTCTCTTAAAAAAGATAACAAAATATGTGAGACTATATCTAATGACGTTCTGCTCAATATACTCTTTAAACTAATTTCCTGTATCCCCTTCTCCCTCATACTAAATCTCATCCTCTCTCTTTCCCTCTGATACTGCCCACACTGTAGCAATACATGCTCCACCGTCTCTATTTCCTGACAATAATCACACTTTCCTGATGGATGCTTTCCTATCACGTTTAATGTCTTATTCAACAGGCTGTGTCCCACCCTTAATCTTGTAAAAATAGACTCCTCTCTTCTGTCCCTTCCTGCCGTCCACCCCGACTTTCCTCTGTACTTGAAATAAATGCCTTCTCATATTATCTCTATTCCACTGCTCCTGCCATCTCTGCACCATCACTGTATATATCAGTCTTTTTGCCTCTGCCTTGCTCATTGACACTTCAACATCAACATCCCCACTACTAAGTGCTTGTTTAGCCTTGTTCATCTACTGCCTCGTTCCCCTCCACCCCCACATGGGCTGGAACCCAAGTAAATCTCATCTGAATACCCATCTGTTTAATCCTGCCATGGGTTTGTAGCACCTCATAAAGCAGGTCTTGTCTGCTACGTAAGCTAAAGGACTGGAGACTCATTAACACTGCGCATGAATCAGAGCAAATAACTACTCTGTCTGGCTTGACTTCCTCCACCCACTGCAAGGCCAACAGTATGGCCATCAGCTCCGCCATATATACAGCCAGATGATCTGTAATACGTTTCCTGACTTCCACCCCACATTCCTGCACTACAAATGCTGACCCAGTACGTCCTGTCCTTGGATCTTTTGAACCATCTGTGTAAATGGCCACAAAATCCTGATACACAGTTTCCAGACGTCTCTTAAAGAAATCAGCTGGATCAACCCCCTCCCTATCTTTCTGTAGTCTCTCCAACACTTCTAGATCAACTACTGGAGGCGTGAGTAGCCATGGTGGATTTACAGGAATAACTACTGTTAGACTAAACTCCCTTCCATACAGTCCCATCTCCTTCGCCTGGGTATTACCCACCCACCCAAAGCTCGTGTTCTGTCTTCGCTCATGTTCCCAGCATGCCTGTAAAATCCCTTTCGCAGGATGAGACACCCCACGTCCTTGTAGGTTGACCCAATAATGCATTACCAGCTGCTGTCTCCTAATCTGCAACGGCATATCCCCCATCTCCACCTGTAACGCAGCCACTGGGGACGTCCGAAACGCCCCACTACATATTCTGAGTCCTTGCCCCTGTATGACATCTAGCCTTTCAAATCAAATCCATTTTTACTGGTCACATGCGCCGAATACAACAGGTGCAGACATTACAGTGAAATGCTTAGTTACAGCCCTTAACCAACAGTGCATTTATTAAAAATAAAACAACAACAAAAAAAGTGTTGAGAAAAAAAGAGCAGAAGTAAAATAAAACAACAGTAGGGAGGCAATATATACAGGGGGGTACCGGTGCAGAGTCAATGTGCGGGGGCACCGGCTAGTTGAGGTCCGGGCTGCCGATCCATATGCTATACTTCCCATAGTCTATTACAGATCGGATCAATGCAACATACATGGTCTTCAATGAGGAACACCCAGCCCCCCACTCCTTCCCCGTCAGACAGCGCATCACATTTAGCACCTTCTTACACTTTCCCACCACTCTCTCAATGTGTTCCTCCCAGGTCAGTCTAGTATCAAAGTATACCCCAAGGAACCTGAAGGCCCCCACCCTCTCCAAGTTTCTCCCATATAACCTCAAGCATACCTCATCTCCCACCTTCCTCCTGGTAAAGAACACTGTTTGAGTTTTCTCTACAGAGAACCTGAATCCCCACATTAATGCCCACCGCTCTACCTCATCAATTGCTTCCTGTACCTTCCTGACTATGTATGGCACATTTCTTCCCCTCTTCAGTTCTTCACATCAGGCTTAGCTATCATATCAACAATGAACTGCTTGAATTCCTGCCCATTAGCCAACAGGCTTCGAG